GGAAAAAAAAATCCTGAGAGAGATAAGATTATAAACCAGTGTTTCTCAACCTTGGCAACTTGAAGATGTCCGGACTTCAACTCCCAGAATTCCCCAGCCATTCGCTGGCTGGGGAATTCTGGGAGTTGAAGTCCGGACATCTTCAAGTTTGCCAAGGTTGAGAAACACTGGTTTATAATCTTATCTCTCTCAGGATTTTTTTTTCCTCCTAGCATTTTTGTTGCAAGCACAAGGCTCACTTATTTTCCCAAATCAACCAAGTGTTGGTCCATTCGTTAGACAGGAATTAATCAACCAGTTTGTTGCCTAAAGCCGACGCTTTGGGCTGAGAGAGATTGGCCCAAAATGACCCAGCTGGCTTTCATGACTAAGGCAGGACTGGAACCCATAAGTCTCCTGGTTTCTAGCCTGGTGCCTTAACCATTAGATCAAACGGTCTGTCTATCTTGGTCTTTTCTAAGACTTTTTTTTATATATATATATTTTTAAATGTTTTTATGATTGTTTTGTTTGCCATCCAAAGTCATATTGTCTGGTGGCCGTATGAATATGATAAATTAAAAGCATGTTTAGGGTAGACCTTAAAATACTTTATATATTGTGCCTTAAATATTAATACTTGCGTACTGGATGCACGACAAACAGTTAACTACTTAAACAAGCGAGATGGACATATCTATTATTGTGACCGAACAGCACTGGTATAATAGAAGTTTCTCAGAAGCGTAGATGTAAAAAGCAACAATACATGATAATTTAATAATTTTTTATTAGCTTGTATCTGTGATTTTGAGAAATGAGACCTAAAACAATGAATGCATACTTTTTCCAGGACTGGCCTTTTGATGATGGGGCACCACCATCTCTTCAGATTGTTGATGATTGGCTAAATCTTCTGAAAGTTAAATTTCGTGAAGAGCCTGGCTGTTGCATTGCTGTACACTGTGTTGCTGGTCTTGGAAGGTAAATCGAAACCTTGAAGTCATAAAAATTACACTTTTGTATGACATCTATGACCATCATTAAGGTTTGACTTAATAGTTATGTAAAACTAGAATTGGCAAAAAAAAATAAAAATCCTGTCCTTTGGTAGGTTTTATTAACTAATTTGACTTGGATTTCTAAATATATTAATTGAATCCATTAGTATTATGTAAACTTAATTGCATTGGGATACATAAAAATAAGAGCTGGATTGTCTTAACTTACTGAGATTCTGTTTAATAGCATATTGGACTCTCTCCAGTTTCGGTCATCTTACAGTGCCACTTGGTCTGACTACTGGTTAGTTAGTTAGTTAGTTAGTTAGTTAGTTAGTTAGTTAGTTAGTTAGTTAGTTAGTT